AGAATGAGAATGAGAATGAGAATGAGAATCATAACAGAACTAATCAACAAGGAGTTCTGTGCTAACAAAGCTCCCCAGTAGAATCACTACTGAGATCTACAGGGGACAGGAACTATGGAAACGAGTTCCTGATTGACTAGTACTACTGTATGGACTATCAATTACAACACRGAAGATTGTGCACAAAATRACGTGTGCTGAAGAATTGTTTTAGTAGTAGTACTAGTAGTATTTAGATTGTATCTAAATTAGGATTGTGAGACTAAAACTAATGAATAAACTGTCAACTCGATTACCTTGAGAAGTCAGCACAGGCAATGACTTTACCCTGGGCTTTGCAATCTTCCAAATAATTGTTTGCATTGGTAAGTTCTTCACCTGTGACATGATTGTAAATAGCAGAGAGATACAGATCAAGTCCTGGCAAAGAAAGTCCAGWTCATCTTGTTCCAGATCAGACAAATCAGAAATGTCATGGTCAAGGAGTTCCTTGTGAATCAGAGGATACATCAGAGTACTACTAGGTGGCATCACAAAGAACACTTTCAAGAGAACCAATAGCACCAACACTGAGAACACTGCTGTCCACTTGGGAAGGACTTTTGTGAGTGTCTGGACCAAAATGCTGATCATCACATAGGTTGGTAACACAAGCATACAAACAATCCTTGATAGAAGAAATAATTCTCATCATCCATCATGGTGATAGTACTATGATAGTAATTTTATGTTCGTAAATATGATTGAGACAAACCTGTCACAAAACAGTAATAGGTCAACATTGTCAACACGCTAACCCGTGAGCCCCAGACCATCACACATTTTACACGTAGATCTAATCACATTAGTCATATCAAACACATACCTCCGCTTGCAGGTAGAAAGCTCAAATCACTGACCACTTAGATCCATACAATAAGACCGAACATACGGTACCACCGTAACAAAAGGTCCAGAATCTCCCGTGGCACCAGTCCAAGAGCAATAATGGAAGAAGGAGAGACAAGACCACAAAAACTCCGGCTAAGAGCACTTAGGAACAACTGCGCTTAGACAGACGTTGCGTGGTATTCAAAGACGCGTGATCGGGGGCTCTCCCGTGAACACAACGTGGCTCACGACGACGGTCGACGTATGATAAGGTCTCTCCGTCACTTAACAATTTCGTTTGTCTGCACATCGCTAACGAGAACARCAAAGCATCCAATTTATATTCTGTGACCGGAGTAAAAAGATTTTCATTGTTGAAACATGCTCTCGAGCATGAATATCAAGTCCCTCTTTCGATTGGTTCTTCGGATGTATGAATGATGGAAATGGCGTAAACTTACTTGCGCACGGCATATTGAACATCCTTTGTTGGACTGAATCGATTTTATGATGTGTGCTGCGAAAMAATTATATACCCGAAGTATATAAGTGCACTGGGCGGTGCTTTCAAATTCTCAATTGCGTCCTCGAGTTCTTTTCCTCTTAAAGAGCAGAGACGATCAAGTTCACCTGACCGATCTCTCAACACAACCCTAACTGCACTTTCGTGCATTTCATTTCCAGCAAAGTTAGAATTGAGTACAAATAAGTGTTTGTTGTCTTCATAATTTTGTTCCTCACTTTTCTTAAAAAATGATTTGATTTCTGTCATTTTTATGAGCGAAGCCAAAGGATTTCTTTTCCAACAATTTTCCCGAGACAAAGTAATAGATTTGAAAGTCTCCGGCATTTCGAATTCATTGATATCAATTATGTCTTCATCTCCATCATCCGAAAAATCTTCCTCATCTACTTCTTCCGCCACTTCTTGATCCCCGAGTGCCTCATTGGTGCCAATACCCTYGTCGTKTTCATCCTCGCATTCTTTTCCTCCTTCATCTCCATTGCTGTAAAATTCAAAAGCTGGAGGAGTTCTCAAAGCTGGCGGTAGCATACCCTCCGCTATACTATTCGAGCCTATTTTCTCGACTACAGCAGGTAGATCCTTAATCAGCGCCTTCAACTTCTCAACTGCATCATATCCTGTCTCTTTATCCGAACAGATGACTTCTCTCCATTCTTCTTTTTCAAGCAGAAGATGCTCCAAAGTCCTGCAACAGAACGAAGCATACGTAGTYCCCATCAAGCTGATGTTTATTGATACCCCCTCTTCTAGTGTTTCAACCTTGTGCCACATTCCAGCTGGAAAATATAAAACGTCACCTGCATCCAAAATTATATCGACTTCTGTTCCAAAACCATTACCGTCCAAATCCTGCTTTCCAAACTGATAATCAGGGTTCGACAGTCGGGCCGCTTTTATTTGGTTTTCAATAACATCAGCTGRTGATTTATAGTGAGGGGTAGTACCTCGCATGGGATGTTTGACTGTTCCTTGCTTCAAAGACCATTTCTTTCGTCCAGAAAGCTGAATTGTAAAATTTTCCTTCAGTACGACAAGTGCATTCAGTAAGTTAACTCTTCTGATGTCGTCAAAAGCATCGTGAGCGATTGTCGAAGAAGCGTCTCACCTGGAAGTCTGTATGCCAACCTGTCAAATGGTCTTTTGTGCCGATGAAAGTTTCTACCTCACCTCTTCCAAGAGTTGTCAGTTTGCTTCCTACCGCACTCCAATTTATGAACAGTTTTTTGAGAAAATACGAAAGAGAAGCATTGAAAGTAAAGAAATGTATCATTTGCAAGAAACTAACTCACCAGTTGGATCGTATTGACCTAAGCCCAAACCAACATTTCGTAACATTTTGGACACTAAAAGCTGTTCTAATTCAGGAGGGGCTCTGCAATACGAAGCGTAATTTGAGTGTGTATGCAAAATATGCGCGGTGTTTGGATCTTCTATATCRATGCTTTGGAGGCTCTTTTGTCCATTGGAAAGCGAGTCCAAACTCGATACCTCTTTTCTGTCGTTGGATGGAATCCATAGAAAAATGCGATCGGAGCTAGTTTCCTCAAAAATACGCTTGGAATCCAATCCAAACATGTAATTTGTGCTAATATCATAAACTCTGTCTTTCCGATTGGAAGATATGTGCACTGCCTTCCTCCGAAAACAACACGATTTGAAATCATCGGGGGATAAAGGAAAGAGCAAATCTTGAAGTAAATCATCTGAGCTTGGCGAAATATCGGGTATAGCGTTGTTATTTTTCAAGGGAATCTGAAGAACAGGGTCGCTGTGCTTCAGWTCATCCAGAAGATTCTGTACATCGATGCGTCTGGAAACTTCGTAGTCTTTGGAAGGAGTCCGTTGTCTCTTGTTATCTCCCGTTTCAAATGCAACTTCCGGACTTCTTTTAGTTTTGATTGTCATGATTATGGTCCTCGCAGTGCTCTGATAAATTGAGAAATGAGTCCAAAAAACTGAGCAATAACTTCTTTTCCTCGATGCGTCAACAAAAAAAGGGATCAGAAAAAATGGCATCAATTCATACCGGCAGGTATTTTTGTTATTATTGGTTGGTTATTTTTTTCACTTCTACTTTTTTCGTTCTGTACCGGTACTACTGTACCCAAGCAAACGGGTACGAATTACCGTAYGACGTACAGTAACAGCTTTTTACCAGAATTAATTTTACATTTTACAGTGCTCTACGCATGGAACAATGRGTGATTCCCGTTATTATAGAATCGTAAATGTGCTAAATCTAGGAGTTTGGCACTTCTGTAATAACGGGAATCAAAAAATCAACAGACAGACTGAGAGCAAGCCAGCCTTCATTTCAGTCTTTTTGGGAATCTGGAATCTTAACTATTCCTCCAACGTAAAGACTAGAAAGACTCAAAACGCGCGCCATAATAATTTTGGTTCAAAGTAAAACATGAAATTGTCGATACTCAGCAGCCGAAAGACACAAACTCATTCCTACTTATTTCCAGTAGAAAATAAGTTGAAATGAGTTTGTGCGTTACTTCCTACTTTCCTACATCAATCCACTCACGTATTACCAGAATCCCTTCCACTTTTCGATATTCAACTAGAGTAAGACATAAATTCATTCCTACTTATTTCCAGTAGAAAATAAGTTGAAATGAATTTATGCGTTACGGGAGTTAGCCGACAAACACACTAAAAGACCACAGTTTCCTCCCAGCACAACAAAAGGCAACATCGTCCAACAACAATGGGATTAATGGAAGTGATCACCAYGTACTGGTACCTCCAGTTGCAGTCTGAGGAAGAGCATTGGAGCTACAAAAGCAAACTGTCTCCAGAGGAGCGCCGAAGGAGGGACAGGAGAACGCCAAGGATTGCAATCAGGAGGTACTCGGCTTCCCCTTTCCTGTACATGTTCCACTCAGGGGATGACCAAGCACTGCTCAATTGCTGTGGCATGGACCACAACGTCTTCAGGGAGCTTGTTGATCTGTTTGCTCCAGTATGGAACAAGTACACAGTGAACGCCGACAATGAAATAGTAAAAGTTGCTTGTTTCCCCAGTGGTAAGCCCAAAGGAAAGAAAAGGGAGGTTGATGCAGTCTGTGCAATAGGGCTGGTCCTTTACTGGTACAGGACACGAGGATCAGTAGCAAGGACAATGGCAATGGCGTTTGGCTTAACATCCACAGTGATGTATAAATGGCTCAAGTTTGCAAGGAGAGTGATGCTTGTTGCCCTTCACAAACATCCAGCGGCCATGGTCAGTGTCCCAAATAAGCAAGAAGTGGATGCTTATGTTAAGGCCATTGGAGACAAGTATCCAAGGCTTGAACGCCAACGCGTCTGGGCTGCTGCAGATGGGCTCAAGCAAGTGATTGAAGCCTCCGGAGACTGGTTCAAACAAAGACCATTCTACAATGCATGGAAGGAAAACACCTACATCAACAGTGTATTTGCCTTTGCCCCAGATGGAAGGATCAGGATAGCAGTGTACAACTGCCCAGGGGCATGGCACAACAGTGCAATTGCTGAGCATGGTGTGTACCAAAGGATTGTGGAGGTCCACGAAGAGTGTGGTGGTAAGGTTGTCGTCGACTCAGCCTTTGCACTGAAGGAATACAAGGAAAGCCTCATCAAAAGCTCACAGAAAGACCCTGATCAACCTGAGAGCATCCTTCTCAACAGGGACGCGACCTCCCTGAGACAGATATCGGAATGGGGGATGCGGATGATCCAAGGACAGTTTCCTAGAATCAAAGACAGGATGTGCTTAGAGGAGCATGGGGAAAGAAAGATCACCATGAACCTTCTTATCAACTTGTACAACTATCAGTGTAGTTACATAGGACACAACCAAATCCTGTCGGCATTCATGAGAACGCCTCCAGCAACTGATCCGTCCGTTCCTCATGAAGAGTTAAGAAAGGAGCTTGCAGGAGGATACTTTCACGTAGGTCGTCGGCTTTCTCCAGATGGAAATGGACTGTTTCGAAGGTGAATCCCATGGTGAAAACGTTAGTTCGGAACAAAAGAGTTAGTTCGAAACAAAAGAGTTTAGTGAGTTCAGTGAGTGAAAAAGATAAGATCGATGTTTATGAAAACAATCAATACAGCACCAATTGATGCAGCACCAGTCGACACAAACAACAACGCGATACAAGCAACACAGGAGGATACAAAACAACAATTACGGGCGCCACCACCATGGTGGAAAGAATACAATAGTTAGTTTCGTTACGTTACGAAGTTACTAAGACTGTGTTGTTTGCTTTGTTGTTTGCTTGCATCAAGCAATATGAGCTGCTATCGTAGGAGCAAGCAAGTAGCTGATACGCGAGTTAGGTTTTCATGCGTAATGCGTAGTAGCTGGTGATACGTGAGTTAGGTTTTCATGTATACACCTGTGACCTCCTGCTGGCTTCCGCGTTTGTTGATACACACAAATGATAAAGAACATACCGATTTATCCTGTAATGAATAAAAGTTCAGCGTTATACTGTAATGAAGAAAAGTTTATGATGCATAACATGTGCATGCCAATCCGAATCGTTTTCGTGGGACTTCCCACGCGCTGATACAGGCAAAACAGTTCTAATCCCGCATTGGACCTTCACAAGAAAACCTTCACAAGAAAACCTTTATCAGCAAGCCCAGTGGAAAAGTACGGGACGCTACTGTAACCACGCTAACAACGCTAACAAGCTACAGCTCAAGCTCATTGTTTTGAATCAGGAAAGATGATACAGCAGTATAGCAGTATAGTTTAGTTAATGTAGTCTAATGTAATCAATTAACCTCGGTGCTTCTTTTCACCATGGGATTCTTGTTCCTCTCCTGTGCGTTTGCGTTTGTTGGACGTTGAGCCGGCAGCAGGTGACGATGTTACGACAGTCGATGCAACCGAAGGAGGAGGACCATAGGAGTGCTGGTAATGGTAGGGTGTATGGGGACCGGGAGGAGGAGGACCATGGTAAGACTGTTGTTGTTGTTGTTGCTGCTGCCACGTATTCATCATGCTAACAGCTGCTCCAAGGAATTTCTCTGCTACATCCTTTACACCACTCCACATCTCAATACTGCGTTGATCTCTTCTTTCCTCTCTTTGTTCCTGCTTAATAATGTATTCATTGAATACAGCAGCGTCGGGGACAGTTCTCTTTTGTTGTCCTTGGTAAGATCTCTTCTTTGCCGGGGTAGATTCAACAAGAGAAGGGGTCAAGTTACTGGCGGCAGCAGAGGAAGCAACAGCAGCACGAGCATACTGCTGTCGTTCGGATGACGACTCATCTCCAGCAAGAATAATTGGAGCTCCTGCTATCGATCCGCTGGCAGTAGCGGCTGTAGTTGGAGCTATAGTGGCCCCTGAAGACAGCGCTGTCAAACCGGCTACAGCCTCACTCTTAATGAAGCCTTGCTCCAGATCAAAGACCTCCTCTGCAGTACCAAGATTTGCCTTTTCACCAATCAGCTTGTGGGCAAGCCAGGCCATACTGACGTACTCAGGCATGTTTGGATTTCCGGTTGAGCTCTTCATCCTCCTCACGGCTGCATACTTAGTCCTGATAGAGTTTGTGGTCCTACCAACAGGCCAACTCTCAGCATGCTTTGCTGTAATGAACTCCCATCCCTCACCACACGTGGGGAGTACATCCAGTATCAACTTCATGAGATCAGTGACCTCTGCCCGAGAGTAGTTTATAGTACCACTCTTTCGGCCGGTATTGCCGCTCCCAGCAGTCGCGCTGCCATTACTATTGCCACCAGCAGTTGGCTCCATCTTAAGAAATATAACGTGGGGGATGGGACAAGGAGAACAATGGTGGGCCTGCTCCTCTTGTTGCTCGTCCTCCTCCTCTTGCTCCTCTCTTTGCCGCAACAAAGAAAGGAAATAGAATGCACTGACTAACAGCACAGATCGAGACATAGTTTATGTCTTAGGCGCCATTAGAGGCGCCTTCTTGTGTATATCATTTTGATACTTGTTTAGAAAAGTATGTTTGGCTGGGTGTTAATTTCGGCGGGCCTTTCTGTTGAATCTTACAACAGACTCGAAATTTTTATTCGTGGGTTCCCTAATAGATTTAGCACATTTTGGATCGGTCCGTTGAACCCATCCAAAAAATGTTAAATCTATGACAAAATGTGCTAGATTTGTCGTCCGTCCGTCTATCAAATTTAGCATTTCTATAATATCGGGAATCACCCAATACTAAGCGTTTCGTAACAATTGAATACGGCCATGCATGCGAGGGCGCAAGTGCTCTCCAGTTAAGACTTACTAGTAATCGCAATGCTTCATTTGGTGGCGCACTGTATTACTTCGTACAAGTAAAGTACGTCCGTATTTTCGTGTTGTTTATTTTCATTTGCCATACCATACTATCGTACGTACTTACGAACCATAGATCATAACGTACGAGCACATTGATGATTTAGAGCTAAAGTAGCTCTTTAATCAGAAGACAGGAAAAAGATACTTACCGGTTTACTATTGGAATTGGAACAAACCACCCCATCGAATATTTTCGAGGTAAAACGACAACCGAGGGCAAACACGTAAAAAACAGCACTATCAAATAGGCACCTAATCTCCATTTTCAACACACTCCTTCGAATTTTAACTGACTGAAAGTGCATCAAAATGGTCTCCAAAAAAGCGGTACGTTGATGACTCCGGAGGGGGCACCAGAATGCTGCTCGCCCGAGATGGACGTCATACGTAATGATTCCACATGACAGGTTTTTAGTCACCGTTTCTCTGGGGCTTACAATGCATGCAGCCTCCGTTGGCTAGTTTTTGCATGCATGGATCTTCAAGAGTTAACAATGCAKKAATGGCCAAGTGTAGCTGTTCTATTCTATCTCTAATTTGCTGCTTGTTGTTTTTTGAGCGCAGAAGAAGCAACAAGACAACATGAACAGCCGCCTAAAGCTGGTCATGAAGTCTGGAAAGGCTACCTTKGGATACAAGCATTCCATGAAGTGTGTGCGAAAGGGAAAAGCCAAGTTGATTCTTGTCGCCTCCAACTGCCCGCACCTTCGAAAGTCCGAAGTTGAGTACATGGCAATGCTTGCAAAGGTCCCTGTCCACCACTACTCAGGAGACAACATCGCACTTGGAACCGCCTGCGGAAAATTTTTTAATTGCTCTGTATTGACGATCMTCGATGGAGGAGACTCCGATATTCTCTCCCAGAACTAAGTCTAGGTCGCTAAGGAAATAAAAAATARCCCCCTCAAAATGTACATTACAAGTTCTCGAAATAGTGTTGTATAAAAAACYWGAAATTGCCAGTCACCAACTTTATTTGTACTTACCGAAGAATCCATTTTGGTCTTGAAATACCTTCGTTCACCAACCGACAGCCTGATGAGATTAACTCTTCAAGGTATTACTTGTAGCGAAAATGGTTGCTGATGAATGCGAGAATCTCGTACGACGCACACTACGGAGTAATAGTAATTTGTATTTCTGTAGTAGAAAAGGTCAAGACGCTACTTGGAATAGAATTGCGCTTTTATTAAGCWTCTTCTAGTGTGGTGTACTAGTACGCCCTCTAAACRAAAGTTCAGGGGGAGTAATGAAAATGATTCGTAGCGTTGTCATCTTCTATCGCCCGCTTTTCTTCTTCCGCCCTTTCTTAGCACTACCTGGAGTTTCCCATTCTTCCTGTTTGCTTCCGAGACCTCGTTTGTTGATAAAGTCAGTTGCAAAATTATTCACTTGAGAAGTCGATCCGAGATAAGTTGTGAGGTATTGTCTTATTTCRCTTGCGTCATTCAGAGTCATACAAAATGCTACAAGAGTCAGGTCATCACTTCCATTAATAAGTTGCATTTTCTCCTTGCACCATTTTTCCAGTGCTGGAGACATGGTGGTGCCAAATTCCTCTGCGGGAGTAGACGACGAAGCAGGGGCTGCCTTCTGCGTGCTAGAAACGACCTTCTTTGTCTGAGGTTTAGAAGGGGCTTGACCAGGGCGGACGCTTGTCACYGGTGCAGGATTCTGAACAACCGTTCTGATTGCGCCACTTGACCACCCAGTTGAACCGGCTGCAACGTTTGCCCATCCGCTACTGTTCGTTTGCGCCATATTACCGCGCTTAGCAGCTRAAATCGCAGCCGCGCGAGCTTCCTCTTTTTGGATCTCTGACATACTCTTCTTAGGCTTATTGTTCGCGACCCCTCCCCATGCTGGAACAGCTGGAGCCACAGGGACGGGTGCCGGTGCCGGTGCGATATCAGGGTCGACCGGCTGATTGCTTGGTTCTGGCTGAGATCCTGCTCCAGACGGCCTAGCAGTTTTGGGTGAGGATTTTTTTAACGCACCTTTTGATGATGTTTTGTTTGCTTTCTTGGCATCTACTGCACCATTCGAGGTCTCGGAAATTTTGTTTAGAGTATCTGATTTTTCTCCTGAAGAAAGGCCAAGCATCATTTTCAACTGGTTTGACGACTGGTTCCCACCATTCGCAGGCGCTTGCACTTCCTCATTCTGAAGTGCGATTTCGCGGCTACGAGCTGCTTCCTTTTGTGCTTCTTTTTGCGCTGCTGCTGCCGCTGCTTCTTCTTCTGCCTTCTTTTTCGCTTCCATCTCTTCGGCAGCGCGTTGCCTTTCAGCTTCCGCAGCGGCTTCTGCATTCTTCCTCTGTTGTTCTAGCACTGCGCCATCATCGCGATCACTCCGCCCTTCAGATCCCTCCGCCGTGAAGGCAGTACTCAAATTCGGAAACCAATTTGAAAGTTGATGGAAAGGACCATTAGGTAGTTGGCTGATAGGCAAGTCACCCTTAAAGTATCCAGCTTCAAGCCACTGTCTCATTTCTTCGCCGCGAAACGGACCCTATCAAACAAATAAATGATAATTAGATATAATTCAGTGGATTCGTAGAGTCAAAGCAATGTGCACCAAATTGGATGCAAACTTACCTGAATGTTATTCTGCGGATCCGAATAATACCAAGGAACATCCTTTTTGATTGACTGAGTCAACTGGTTTTGCGCTTGAAGTCTTGCTTTTGCCTCCTCTTCCATGTGGCGACGACGTAATTCCTCTTGCTGCATTCGAGCTTGAATGTGCTGTTGCTGCTGTTGTTGCTCTTGCCATTGCGCATTGGTCATAACAAGAACAGCTATCTCTCCGGCAAGACTTGGATCTCTACGAAGTGACACTCGTTGTGGACTCCTCGCAATCAAGGCACGGAGTGCATCAATGTGTCTTAGTAACTGAATAACTCGAGCGTCTTCCGAGTGAAGTGTTCTCAAGATAGACATCAGGTCGGATCTACCCCACGAGTTCTCCAAAATTGTACATATTCTTTCCATGAGAACAAGCTCAATTTGGGATTGTCGTGGGGGATTTTGCTGCTGCTGYTGCTGAGCCAATAAACGACGCTGCTCCTTTTCTTCCTCGTGACGACGACGTGCKAGTAACTCGGCCTCGTGACGAGCAATCTTTTCGCGTTCTGCTGCTATCTGTGCTTCACGGTTCTTTTCTTCGGCKGAAAATGCACTAATGTGAATCCCTCCAAGAGTCATACCACTTCCACTAGCACCGGTTTGTTGAGAGGGTGTCGAAGCCGAGATAATTGGATCTCCCCATGGATTTAAGGATATCGAAGTACCTCCAGCATTGGATGGTACGCCAGCGATGCCACCAATGATTGGATCAGTTGGTGTTGTCGTTTTCGAAGCTAGATCAAGATTAGTTGACGATCCCCACGGATTACTGCTCGGTTCCAGTGGCTTTGCCTCATGGTTAGCTGAGTCCACAGTAGGATCCCTTGATACTCCAATCATTTTCATCAGTCTGGAACTTGCATTTGGATCTTCGTCGCCACCACGAACTGCGACTGTCTCTTTGTCTTCATTTGTTACAACGGCGTTGTTTTCACCCTCACTGTCAGATGTTACTGGCGTGTCAAAATCTTCAAAGACGTTCACATCGTTTCCAGAACCTGATATAAGAGTTGTGCCAGCACTAGCAAGTGGACGACTGACATCGATTTTTTTGTTGCTGTTATGATCCGCGTCATCGCCACTACTTCTGTCCCCATGGAGCTCCAACTCAAGCTTAGCTGACGCTTCYGCCATTTTGTCGAAGTCAAATGCTTCGCCATTCTCTGTTGGCAAAGCTCCAAAGGAACTGAAATCTGAGGCTGCGCCTATWACTCCACCAACTGGATCATCCCACAACTCGTTTGGGTTATCGACGTCTCCCTTTCTCTTACTACCATCTTCGGGGGGTGGTAGGGCCAAACCACGGGACCATCTCCCGCTACTAGGTGCTGTTCGCCTACGTTGGTCTTCCAAACCACCCATTGACTTTCCACTTATCGCTGAGCTCGACCTCCGCTGCTCTCTGGCCATTTCCCAGATTTCTTCCGCATCAAATGTATCCCAACAAACTGGATCTTGAGCCGTTGACGAAATAATGACGGATCCTTCCACCGCCTTGAGCTCCTCGGGAGGACCCGGGTCCTCTCCTCTAGGAGCAAAGCGCAATGACAGAAGCTTTTCTCTGGTATAACGAATGACTTTCGGATCAGCTTTGTAGCCTTCGGACGAGCCACTTGGGCCTCCTGAACCACCATCGTGGGAATGAATGTGAGAAAATCTACCACTTCCACCGAGTCCACCTGAATGATGGCGCCGGCCACCGTGGCCGCTCGAGGAGGACAATTCAGGAACACGGGCTGCTAAATCAGCAAGTGATCTTCGAGATCCGGAAGACGAAGATCGGTTGAAACTCGACCGAAATGCTTCGCTTCTCGAACTGCTAATAACCGGTGGTGGTTTCGAAGACGATTCGGATGCATGAACCACACCATTGCCATCACCGACGCCGCTTCCGGCTGCATCTTCGTCGTCTAACAGTGCAGCAAAAATGTTAGAATCTCTCCTGCCGCCAATTTCGTTGTCGCCACTACCGTTTGAGTTGGATCGACCTTTATCGCCACGGTCTGAGGCCGTTGGCGGGGGCTGGAAACCTTTTCCGCCACCGGCACCGGAGCCTTTGAACCATCCTGGTCGGAGACTTGAATTGTTACTACTCATCAGCTATGTAATATTCTAATTGCTTACAGGTCTATTTTGTGCTTGTTTCTACTGGACATGCAGAGACAAACAGAACGGATGAAGTGAGAGTTGTGGTGTTGAGTGGCTGATGATTGCTAAACCCAATTATTTACGAGTTATCGTATTCGTACGACGTAACAGTAACGATGCAACGACAGATGGTAACACGAAGTACATAGACTCGTAAAATGCAGTAGGAAATTAATGTCTCGCTCGCTTCCCCAAGAAACAGGGAGGGAAATTCCGTTTTCACGTTATGAGACATAGACGCGATGGAATCCATCAGAAAAGATCGCGCGAACAAAGCGGGAAAAAGTGGGGAGGATCGATCGCGTTCGATCCTCTTCCTTCGACGGTCAATCGAAATCAGTGCGGTGCGGTGCGATGCGATGCGATTCGATACGATTGCAATGGCATTCCCGATCAATCCACGGTAGACAGTGAATGGCAGAGGAACCATTTTGCTTGCGGCAATTGGCTCGATCATTCCGATGGCAACGCTTGGTGTTCCCATGGATCGTTTTTACGCACCTCTTTGCTGTGTGAACATGTACATTACCGTAGCAAAAGGGAACCAGGGTGCTTCATAATTTTGAACTACGGTACCGTTCGGTAGTTACATCGCGCGGAAACAACGAACCCGCGAGAATCTCAACAATCAAAAATTCTTGTCGAAATCTATTCCCTACCGTACCGTTCAAAACTGTAGTGTCCGTAGCGTACCTTACTTACGTTCGACTCATTTCTGTAAGTAGGAGTACAATTAAGAGTACGTACTGTACGTAGTAGCACGATGCTGAAGCATAACCCACCCTACGTACGGTACTGTACGTTATCAACCAGTAAGTGGCTACTGTACTGCATAGTCCTTCCATACGTGCACCAAATMCCCATTGCAATGGCGAACGAAAAAATGAAAACGTATCTTGCATAGCGGAAGTCTGTTGCACACTACCAAGAAGCACCGATGTCTTCCATGCCGCATGCATCCATTCAGTCTGATTCATAGTGCGTACAGTATCAATTTAGAGGACGAATCAATGCAAACAGTAACATTGAAAGAACGCTCGAACCAAAATGCTAAACTATCAAACGAGTCAAAAGAATGATAGCTGATTGACTCATCTCAAATTTTCATACGAACCACCGATATATGCACTGGGACCATTCTAAGCGTTAAGTGTCATGTAGTTATGATTGTTTGATTCTCAAAAGATGGGAAAAATCAATCTTGATTTCCGAGACAGAGAAACATCTCAATGAACTCGAATGATAAGCATCAAAGTCAATTGAGAATATGGCTTCCATTGAATCCTGATCGGCCTATTACCTTAAAACGAAGTCCATTTATAGTTCTCCTGAGTCAGAAATGGTTACAGTAGAGGATGGTGCGCCCGATCCTGATCCTACGGCTTCGATTGCCTTCACAACATCTTCTCCCTCGAGGACCTTTCCGAAAACAACGTGTCTTCCATCCAACCAAGAAGTTTTAACGGTGGTGATGAAGAACTGCGATCCATTGGTGTTGGGTCCTACGAACCGAAAATTTTCATCGAAATCGCAATAGAAAATATATATGAGTTGTGAGAACTTCATTCAAACAGATACAGAAAGTATATACTAGCAACGACAATCAGTGTAACTATTTCTTCTAGTCGTCAGAGGAAAATCAGCCTCGAAAATGTGTGATGATGATAACAAAGAAGCATTCAACACTTACCGGCATTGGCCATACTCAAATACATGGGACCTTCGTGCTTAAGCTTGAAGTTTTCATCGGCGAATTTTTCGCCGTAAATGCTGTTGCAAAACAATAAATTATGGAGTTGATAACAAAAAGGAAGGTAGGGTCAGTCCTTTAAACTTTCCATCGTGACATTGCATCTGCTTTCACTATAGTTCATTCATTCAATCATATAAAACGACATACCTTTCCCCTCCAGTGCCATTTCCATTGGTGAAATCTCCGCCCTGAATCATGAAGTTAGGAACTGTGGTTCAAGTATACAGGAAAATTGACGTTAGAGTACAGATGGAACATATCAATTAAAAAATAACGGAGAAGCGAGATCAAACATCAACTTCAGAGAAATTATCATGACTCACTGATTCGGTGGAATGTGCTGCCCTTGAAATGCAGAGGCTTTCCTGTTTTTCCGACTCCCTTTTCACCAGTACAAAGGGCGCGGAAGTTTTCAGTGGTTTTTGGAACATCTTCGGTGAAGAGACCCATTACAATGCGTCCCGCTGCGGTCCCTCCAATATCTATATCGAAGAAGACCTTAGTATTGGTAGTCTGCCTGCGATTGGACGAAAAAGAGTAACATATTATATTTTGTCATCGCAGTCATTGATTTTCCGCGTTGTAGTGTGAACGACAGACAACACTAAGTTAGACGAGTATTTCAACCGAGAGCATAATGTATCAAGTTCTYGCCAAAGGCATCAGTATGCAGATTTATTAAACGTACCCGGTTGCGACGGCAAATAGAGCAAGCAAAAGGGTTACAGCGAGCTTCATGGTGATCGTTGGAAAAGAGGATGGATAGTTTTGCAAGTATTTTTATTAGTATCCGAATTGGATTTTGGATTTTATGTTGTGTGACCTTGGAGAGTGACCCTGGAGAACTCGACAGGGTGACTAATTTTCTTTTTTTATCCTTCTGTACCGTACGGTACGGTTAACGAGTAGAAGTACTTCTACTTCCTCGCTGTACTTACGGTACGGTACGTTCCAAGCAATGTAACGTACGTAAGAGATAATACAATGACTTTCGAATACAGTACTACTAGAAAGCATAAAGCGAACACGCGGTAGAGAGTAGGACTCCTAATGTCAAGCGCACTAATTGCCAAGTGTCAATTTTTTCATTTTCCCGTCTTTATTTCTCCTCTCCCCCCCCCTCCACGCAAAACTGTCCCAAAATATTTCTATTAGTGGTCCTTACTACTGGGGATATAAAATCAGTGCTTACTACTTGAGAATTAATATTAGTGCTTACTACTTGATCACCTCCATTACTACTTACTAGTTGGGATGCCATAGTAGTGATCACTGCGAACTGCTGCTGGGTAGTAAGGGGGTTCTGTTGGTGCTGCGAGAGAGGTGATCAAGTACTAGTAGTACTAGTAGTAAGCACTAATATTAATTCTCAAGTAGTAAGCACTGATTTTATATCCCCAGTAGTAAGGACCACTAATGGAAATATTTTGGGACCAGTGAGAAATTAAMCAATGGAAATATTTTTGTCTGTTGGATGCCTTTTTTAACTGTAAAAATGAGTTAAAAATTTCTATTAGTAGTATTTGYACGGGGATTGCCAATAACTTGACTTTAGTGCGCTTGACATTAGTAGGAGTCCTCGTAGAGAGAGGCTGAGTACGAGCAGAGRTCATAATTTAGAGGGGTGCGCAACRCATCAAAATTCATTCCATCCGTGGCAGGAATAATGAAATTTTTGAACCCCAGGGATTTTTTTCAATTTCATTTTTACTGCATAATACAACTATCCAACCTTTAAGCAGTTACAACTTTATGAAAATACWACCATTAGAATTTTTGACTACACTMTCAAGCCCAGTTTTTCATGAGGATCCTGAATATGCCAATATTTTCAGTGTCAAATGGAATGATAGTGTACCTTTTCACTGTTGAATATTGATTAGATTGTTAGTAGAAATTGCTACTGGGGAATTAGTGGGAGAAACAGATGAAGGACAGACAGTTTGAATTTTTGCTAAGGACTAGACTGGTGGGACTGATRAACTGCAGACACCAGCAATAACAGTCAAAATATATTTACTACTTGCCTCTCAACTAGCTATGTGAGAGATGTGCCTTTGAAGTTTGAAAATTAGAGAGTGATTGGAAGTGTTCCTTTGCATGGAGATGGGGTCTTCCAGGTACACTTTTTGCAGTGATGTGCAGTAAAAATGAAATTTAAAAACATCTCTGGGGTTAAAATTTTCTTATTCCGGCAAYGGATGGAATATGATTTTTTTGTCCTGATGCTGAAAAACGTGCCGGTTGCACACCCCTCTAAATTTATGACCCCTGAGTACGAGTACATACAAGTACAGGGGTCATACTGGGTCATTCCCACCAATAATCAAGACAATCTACTTTTTGACAGACAGACAGACAGACAGTCCAAAAATAGACAATCTAGACCAAATTTTTAGACTTTCTGTCAAYGCTCAATTCAGCCTTGATAGAGGATCTAAATCTAGACTGGAATCCAAGAATGAAAATCCGTTTGAAAGACTCAACTGAAAAGACCTACCAAATTAAGATTGAATATATTTTTAATAGAACATTTTGTGGGTTGTCTCTTAAAGGAGACAAAAAAA